CTCCTCCTCCTCCTCCTCCTCCTCCTCCTCCTCCTCCTCCTCCTCCAGCGTGCGGCTACTCGGGGCAACCGAAAGGCGAACTGTCCGGCGTGCGAGAGGAAGGAGACAGGACGAGGGCGGCCGCGCGGGGGAGGAGGAGGGGGAAGCGCTCAGACGTGGAAGAGTTCAGATTGCGTGACACATGCATTCGCCTCGTTGCCCGCGGTCGGGATACTTGTTGCATCGGCCCGGCAGGCCTAGGGGAGGTTGCATGCGCTGGGCAGCCGGAGGTTAGGGTGATGCGGCGGATCGCGTGTGCCTTGCCTTTCCGAGCCCCCCCCCCTCCTCGAGCAAAAGCACAGGAGAGTTTTCACAGTGTAGAAGTGTGTTCGATGTGGCCAGGTGCCCTGAGCAAGGTCATGGAAGTAGTTGGGGTCCATCCGCCCTTGGTCGGGGGGTCGCCGTGGTCGGCACGTGTGATGTCTTTGGCCAGGCGCGCGGTGATCGGCGGGTGGCCCTGGTGGCCAGGCAGGCTGCTCGGCCAGCGCCGTGCCCCGGGGCGACGGGCCGTGGTGGATTCGGGCCACGCGTAATGGGGGGGGCGACAACAGGGGGGGGGGGGGGGGCAGCGTGGGCTGCAGAAAAGGGGCCCTCTGGGCCCCCTCAGTCCAGGCGATCGCACACATGGATCGAGGGGGCGTGGACTAGCGACAGGTCCCGTTCCCGTAGGAAATCGCGGATTTCCGCCGCCGAGCGAGGCGGCACTGGCCGCATTTGAGGGAGCCTCCCCTCGATCCATGGTTGCGCGCCCCCGATAAGTGAGACCTTCAGGGCCCAGAAGAGGGCGTTCAGGGCCCGAAAAGTGCACCTTTCTCCCCCCCCATCCCCCCTGATCGCCCCCCATTTACTTCGCGCCCAGCGGATGTTTCTTTTCCCTACCTAGGCTCTGCCTAGAAGGGTTCTTACTCTCTTAGCTTAAAGGGGCCGGGCAGTGGAAATCGCCCCGGGCGGTTCCCCCAGTCCCCTGGGAGCGGTTCCCCCCAGTCCCCTGGGAGCTTTAGCTTTAGCTTTAGCTTAGCTTTAGCTTAGCTTTAGCTTAGCTTTAGCTTAGCTTAGCTTTAGCTTAGCTTTAGCTTAGCTTTAGCTTAGCTTTAGCTTAGCTTTAGCTTAGCTTTAGCTTAGCTTTAGCTTAGCTTTAGCTTAGCTTTAGTTTAGCTTTAGCTTAGCTTCAGCTTAGCTTTAGCTTATATTTAGCTTAGCTGTAGCTTAGCTTTAGCTTAGCTGCTGCTCAGCTTTAGCTTAGCTTTAGCGTAGCTGTTGCTCAGCTTTAGCTTAGCTTTAGCTTAGCTTTAGCTTAGCTCTAGCTTAGCTTTAGCTTAGCTTTAGCTTTGCTGTGTCTTAGCTATAGCTTAGCTTTAGCTTAGCTTTAGCTTAGCGTTACTGTTACTACTAATGCTGCTTTTCTAGGGGTTCCAACTCCTAGGTAGGGTCGCACTGGGATAATTTACGGCGTTGCAGTGAGACTTTGCAGTGCGACTGGCGACGAAGAAATGTCCGCGTGCGGAGTCGAATGCAATCAGTGTTATAATCGGGCTCCTGCGGCAACATTTGTTTCTTTTCTGCACAATGCAGTGAAGAATGAGTGTACTGCAAGGCTTGTCTCTGTAATTCAAATAGGTTGTCGAGACAATTCGACATATTTCGACACGTGTCGACGTGTGGTGATCGTTTTCTTATTCATTGTTTTGCCGATCGGTGCGGGCCCTCGCACCCCCCCCCCCTCCCCCCCCGTGGGGTAGATCTTGGCTGTTCTTGGCGCCTGTTTCAGGCAGGTGGAGCCCCCATTGGACGCACTGTCGCAAACGCTCGCACTAAGCAGAGCTCCAGAGCCAGAGCCCCCCCTCCCCCCCCCTTCCGCTCAATGTCGAAACGCCGAATAAAAAAGACGTTCGCGTGTCGACAAGTTCCGAAATCGAAACTACTGGGAAGTGGGCGCGCAGAAGCAGATACCATTGATTTTTTTGGTTACAGTACAGCTTTAATTGGTTTCTGAATTATTTCTGTAGTGCGCACTGTATGCAATTACATCAATAATTGTGTCGGGAATTAATAATGTAGGCTCGAAATATTGCCAAGAGCATTTTGGTTATGCATTTCTATTGAGTTGGGAAGTTAGAAAGGAAATTGATAAGGAATTTCCTGAGTTAGAAAGGAATTTGAATACCAGAGATAGTTCTGAACCTCAAAGACAATCGAGTCCGAATTGCCCGAGGAAGCCAGGGCCAGGAAGGGAAAAAGGAGTTAGAAAGGAATTCGATAAGGAAATTCAAGAGTTAGAAAGGAATTTTGTTTTTTGGGTTGTTTTGGTGTTTTGCTTTTTTGTACGACGCCGAGAGGTCTGAGCCAGGAAGGAAAAAACGAGTTAGAAAGGAATTTGATAAGGAAATTCAAGAGTTAGCAAGCAAGGAATTTCTTTTTTGGGGTTGTTTGTTTTGTTTTGCTTTTTTAAAGACGCCGAGAGGTCTGGGCCAGGAAGGAAAAATGAGTTAGAAAGGGATTTAATCAGGAATTTCAAGAGTTAGAAAGGAATTTCGTTTTTTGGGGTTGTTTTTCGTTTCCTTTTTTTTTTACGACGCCGAGAGGTTTGGGCCAGGACGGAAAAAGGAGTTAGAAAGGAATTTAATTTGGAATGTCAAGGGTTAGAAAGGAATTGTGTGTTTTTGTTTCCTGTGTTGTTTTTTTTTGTTTTGTTTTTATTTACGATGCGAGAGGTCTGGGCCAGGAAACAAAACAACAAACAATTTCAAAAAAACGAAATTCCTTTCTAACTCTTGGAAATCCTTATTAAATTCCTTTCTAATTCCTTTTCCTTCCTGGCCCAGACCTCTCGGCGTCGTAAAAAACAAAACAAAAAAACACCACCAAAAACGAAATTCCTTTCTAACTCTTGAGATTCCTTTATTAAATTCCTTTCTAACTCCTTTTTCCTGCCTGGCCCAAACCTCTCGGCGTTGTAAAAAATGAAACAAAAAACAACCCAAAAAACAAACTTTCTTTCTAACTCTTGAAATTCCTTGATAAATTCCTTTCTAACTCCTTTTTTCCTTCCTGGCCCTGACCTCCCGGCGTCGTAAAAAAACAAAACAGAAAACAGCCACCAAAAATGAATTTCTTTCTAACTCTTGAAATTCCTTATTAAATTCCTTTCTAACTCCTTTTTCCTTCCTGGCCCAGACCTCTCGGTGTCGTTTCTAAAAAACAAAACAAAAACAATCCCAAAAAGCGAAATTCCTTTCTAACTCTTGATATTCCTTATTCAATTCCTTTATAACTCCTTTTTCTTTCCTGGCCCAGACCTCTCGGCGTCGTAAAAAAAACAAAACAAAAACAATTTCCAAAAAACGACATTCCTTTCTAACTCTTGAAATTCCTTATTACATTCCTTTCTAACTCCTTTTTCCTTCCTGGCCCAGACCTCTCGGCGTCGTAAAAAACAAAACAAAAAACCACCACCAAAAACGAAATTCCTTTCTAACTCTTGAAATTCCTTATCAAATTCATTTCTAACTCCTTTTTCCTTCCTGGCCCAGACCTCCCGGCGTCGTTTCTTTTTTGTTTAAAAACAACACCCAAAACGAAATTCCCTTCTAACTCTGGAAATTCCTTATCAATTTCCTTTCTAACTCCTTTTTTTCCTTCCTGGCCCAGACATCTCGGCGTCGTTTTTTTTTTTTTTTTTTTTTTTTTTTTTTTTTTTTTTTTTTTTTTTTTTTTTTTTTTTTTTTTTTTTTTTTTTTTTTTTTTTTTAAAAAAAAAAAAAAAAAACAAAAAAACGACCCCAACAACGAAATTCCTTTCTAACTCTTGAAATTCCTTATCAAATTCCTTTCTAACTCCTTTTTCTTCCCCGGCCCAGACCTCCTGGCGTCGTAAAAAAACAAATTTAACGCAAAAAAACTGAATTCCTTTCTAACTTTTGAAATCCCTTATCAAATTCCTTTCTAACTCCTTTTTCCTTCCTGGCCCAGACCTCCCGGCGTCGTAAAAAAACAGAAAAAACGCCGCGCGAAAGCTTCGTCGCAGCTACAGCTACAGCTACAGCTACAGCATTAATTGCTCAGCGAATTATTTACTGTAGCACCCTACAGTACAGCTACAGCATTAATTGCTCAGCGAATTATTTCTGTTAGGGGAAAAAATCAATAGTACTCTTTGTTCGTCGCCGTCGCCGTCGAGGCCGCGAGGCCGCAGGCAGCGGCCCAGACTCGGCGGCAAGCGAGGGGGGGAAGTCTTCGTCCTCCTCCTCCTCCTCCTCCTCCTCCTCCTCCCCCTCCTCCTCCGCCTCCTCCTCCTCCTCCTCCTCCTCCTCCCCCTCCCCCTCCCCCTCCCCCTCCCCCTCCTCCTCTTCCTTCTCCTCCTCCTCGGCCTCCAGTCGGCGGCGAGCGAAGGGGGGGAAGTGAGAAGGAGAAGGCCTTCTCAGAAGGCGGCGGGATTTCTCAGAAGCGCTCGCGCCTTCTGAGGAGTTGTTGTTGTTGTTGCGTTTTCGGGGAAGGCTTAGACAACTTGTCACAAGGCCGGGCTCTTCCGAGCCTTCTGAGAAGGCCTCCTTCTCACTTCCCCCACTCGCTCGACGCCGACAGGCGTGGAGAAAGCAGTCTTTTTAATTGTCCCTGTCCAGTTTGTTTCGCGTGGTCGCATTCGGCACGGCCCTTCCAATGGCCCCTGGTGGGAGGGCACAACTCTTCGAGATCAGCCTCGTCTTCAAATGTCGCGTAGATCCTCTCTGCAACTAAAGGGGCAGCGGGTGGAAAAACGTTGTAGCCCAAGCAATCACAGTGCTTGCGCAACTCTCTTAATTGTGTTTGATGTGAATAAGTAAAGTTCGAACCGCACAAGATAGCTTCTATCACGGGGAATGGCACTACTAACTGACTGCGACCCGACACGCCGGTGCCTTAGGAAATGTTTGCTTGTGATTATGTTGGCATTGCAGCAAGCAATTCAGCACCACCCCATCGCAGGCCGCGATACTAGGGCGCAGGTTCGAGTGCCAGGTGACCGGCGTCACCGGCTTCCAGTACGTGGTGGATGTTGCTCGCTTGTTCGTCGAGGCGGCGGAAGGTGCCAGACTCAGCGGCGTTTGCTGGAGGGCGCGGGCAGGGGCGTTGAGGGAAGATTGCATAGTGGTTTCCCGAGACTCGTCGTGCGGCCGATGGAGTGCTTGTGTTTCGTCGAGCTGACGCCACAACCCCCAAGCCATTGAAACAGAAGTCAGCGGTTTAACTGTGCAGGCTTTCATTACAAAGTATTGAGAGGATGAATTGTTTGGAGGCAAATGAACAGGAGGGCGAGAATGGGGGGGAGGAAGATGAAGAGGAGGCGGAGAAGGACCAGTACAAGTTTAAGACGCACCAGTGAGGTTGCTACAAACCATCCTTCCGAGCTGCCTCTTCACAAATCCCTGCAAGAATTTCTGTTCTTGAGAAGTGCCCCATCGCCAGACATCCGTCTGATAGTCCTGCATCGAGACAAGACGCTGTTCTTGGGACCTGAACGCCGCGGATCAACGTGACTGTTGCGCCTTGACGATCCTAGGTCGTGCTAGAAACCATTCTTGGGACTTCCTCACCGCGAATCAGAGTGACCGCTGGTTCCTGACAATATCAAATCGTGCCAGATCACCATTTCTGCAAGCACAACCATACGAATACTAGAAGAAAACAAATTCTTTCTAACACGAATGTGCGCGGCGCTACGGCGAGAGCCATATGTTGAAAAGGAACCACCCTCCATCCGTGCAACTCTTGGAAACTGTGAAGACGAATCTGCGCGGCGAGAAGGCGAGAACCACATTTTGAAAACCACCCGCCCTCCATCCGTGAAGCTCTTGCAACCTTTCAGACGAATTCGTGCGGCGCTAAGGCAAGAGCCACATGTTCAAAAAGGAACCGCTTTCATTCTTGAAGCTCTTGCAATATTTTAAGACGAGTGCGTGCGGCGCTAAGGCAAGGGGTACAATTTGAGAAAGAGCCGCCTTCCATCCATGAAACGCTTGCAACTTTGTCAGCCGAACGTACGCGGTGATATGGCGGGGGCCACAATTAGAAAAGGAACCGCCATCCCCCTCTATCCGTGAAGCTGTCGCAAGTTCCAAGCTTCAGCATCATGAATGGAGAGGAAGGCTCCGGCGAAACGCTTGGCACGCCCTGCCGACACGTCTCGGGGTGCGACAGGGAGGAGTTGTTAACGAAGACAGGAGTTGAGGCGGGGGAGGCAGAAAGAGAGAAAGAGAGAGAGAGAGAGATTAAGGGTGAGGGAAAACGAGGAAGAGAGAGAGCGAGCGAGAGATTAACCTGAGCATGATTGCATCTGTATTTGATTGGATCTGAGCGTGGGAGATCTGAGATGGAGATGGCGGGAGGGGGCGGAGGCGTCACACTAACAATAAAACCCATACTTAGGAGATAGTCCGCGATCTTGGATGACGTCGTTGATCTTCGGCCCGCAATCTTGGGTGACGATGATTGCGAGGACGACATCTACAGCGATGCTGTCGTCGCCCAGAATCGGGGACTGGGGTTTTTGGATGTCACTGGGCCTCCTGTGGCACCCTCGTCCCGACGGCCAGATGCGCCTCCTGAGCCTGGTCCAGAACACACTCCAGGAAAGGTCCGGGAAGTCGTCGTCGTCGTTGCATTGTGCGCCGTCGTCGTCGTGGCCGTCGCGGTTGTCGCTTGTCGCCGTCGCTGCCGTCGAGCGGACGAGGGCCGCGACGCGGACGTGTTGCATCGATAAAGACGATGATGATGTTGATGTGTTAATGAAGGTGATGTTGCTGATGGTGATGATGATGTTGATGTTGATGATAGTGGTGTTGATGAGCATGATGATGCTGATCATCATCATCATCATCATCATCATCATCATCATCATCATCATCATCATCATCATCATCATCATATTGATGATGGTGGTAATGATGATTGCGGTGACGACGACGCTGCCGATGACGAATGTGACGATGATGGGGTGGTGGTGATATCGATAGTGCAGATGGTGATGATGATGGCCATATGGCGATGGCGATGGCGACGACGATGATGGTAATGAAGAAGCTGATGATACTGATGTTGATGATCCTGATGTTGATAATGATGCTGTTGATGATACTGATGATGCTGATGATGATGATGGTGATGGTGATGATGATGATGTTGATGGTGATGATGGTGATGACGATGGTGGTGATGCTGAAGATGCTGCTGATGCTGATGATGATGGTGGTGATGCTGATGATGCTGCTGCTGCTGCTGCTGCTGATGATGATGATGATGATGATGATGATGATGGTGATGGTGATGGTGATGGTGATGGTGATGGTGATGGTGATGGTGGTGGTGGTGGTGGTGAGGTAATGAATGTGCGATGGCCACGACGACGAAGACGACCACGACATCGTCGTCGGCTTCGTCGTCGTCGGTCGCCCGCCGAGCGGCGCGCCGACCGCCGTCGCCGCGCCGCCGCCGCCCGCCCGCGCGGCTGGCCGCCGGGCGGCGCCGAGGCGCGGCGCGCGCCGGCGGCGCGCACGTGTGCGGGCTGCGCGGGCACGTGGCCTCCCACGAGGGGTTCCTGCGCGAGGCGGCGGCGCCTCGCGCCTACGAGAGGCAGGAGGAGGGGGAGGAGGAGGAGGAGGAGGCGCCCCGTGGGCGTGGGCGCGAGGATACGGCGCCCCGGGGGCGAGCGCAGGCCAGAGCCCCGAGCGCTCATCGGCGTCGAGCGCTCCTCGGCGAGGTTCGCGGTCTTGGGACGTTCTCGTCGGTGCACGGCGCTCGGAGGTCTTCGTCGGAGGTTCGCTTGGCATCGCTCGGACGTGTGCATGTTGTCTCGGCGGGGACCATCGAGGAGCATGTGTTGTGCCGTCTTGCGGAAAAAGACACGCACGGAATCGAACAATGCCCGGGGAAGGGACGTCCGAGCGATGGCCAGTTCGAGGGTCGCCGTTTTGGGAGTTTTTCATCGGTGCATGGCGGTTTTCCAGCCTCAGGGTGGTTTCCAGCAGTTGCGCCTGGTTGCGAGGTTCCCGGCTTTCGGAGGTTTTCATCCGTGCATGGCGGACTCCCAGCCACGGGGTGCTTTCCAGCAGTTGCGCCTGGGGCCCCGATCTCTTCCCGATCGGCCGCCAGAGACCCGCGGTATGACCCGAAAGCCAAACTCTCAGGAGGGGAAAACAAAAAAAAAGCACAGACATAATGAATCGTCGATTCCCCAGAAAATATTGAAAAATATGGGAAGTGGGGGGAAAACGAAAACCCACAAAATATACAAAAATACGGGGAATATGTTTTAATTGTGTGTATTTATTTGTGTGTCCCAGGGCCCCTTCAAACTCGTCGGCGCGCCGAACGGCAGCGAGGAGAGGCAGGCCGTCTCCGAAGGCTGCGGGGCTTCTCAGAAGCCCTCGGCGCCTTCGAGCAGTGTTTTGCACACGCTCGTCGTTGAAAGTGGGTACCTCTGGACACCCAGATCCCAATCTACTTCAAGCGTCTTTCTACTTCAAGAATCGATCTGCTTTTGCTGCGTGTTGTTATTATCTGTGAGGGCTTGAACCCAATCTACTTGAGTATCCTTCCTACTCCATGGTTTCACCTACTTCTTCAGACCGACGTGTAGGCAAAGACGGCTTCTCAGAAGGCCGGATGGCGAAACCCCGCCGCCTTCGCCCAAGGGGGGAAGAGACCACCCCAAGCCCGATAGTGGGCGTGTATTGAAAACGGCCCTGGGCGTTTGCTCAGCAGCCCTGCCCTGCTCGAGTCCTTGGTGCGTCTGCTGAGTAACCTCGTTCGTCGGGGCGCTTATCGTGAGGGTGGATGTTTGGCTCCCTGTGTGTGTGAGGAGGAGTGCCCCCTCCCGCTCCCCCCCTGTCTCGGCATCGCCCGGACGTGTGCACTTGATTTCGCGAGGACCATCGAGGAGCACCCTAGATCATCGAGCAACAAGGACACGCGCGAGATCGAAACGTGCACGGAGAGTGGACGCCGGAGCGACGTCAAGCTGTGCGCTCCGGCGATGCAGTGGGGACCCATGCCAAGAAACACCCTGCGTGCCTCCAGGGTGCCCTGGGCTTCTGGGGTTTTCAGGATTTTGTGGTGGAAGGCGTGACGTTCCCACACCAGGAACCAATGGACGTCCTGGGGTCTCAGGGCTGGGTTTCTGGTGGACGGTCTGTTGTGGACTTCTCCCCCGCTGCATCACAGCGCATGGCGCGGCCCTGGAGACCGCCTGGTTCTCGGGGCTCCCGCCCTCGCGCCGGAGGGTGCCCCAGAGTGCGCAATAGTCTGGGGACGATTTGTTTTATGTTTTTGAATATGTTTGAGCATTTTGGGGATCTGCTTTATTTCGCGTCCAAATTCCGCCTGTGGGGGGACATGCCCGACCTAATGGTATCGGGGGGCTCCCCCTCCGCAGCAGCGAGTATAGTTCCTCTCACGGGGATGTGGAGGCCTGGAGCGCAGAGCTCAGGTTAAGTCGGGAATGTCTCTCGAAAGGAGGAACATTCAAAAGTCAGAACATAATATGGGGACGATTTTCTACTAGTTTTGACTATTTTTGACCATGCTTCGAGATTTGTTCATTTGTCCTCCAAAATCCGCCTGTAAGAGGACATGCCCGACCTGAAGCTCAGGTCTCGACCCACTCACCAGGGCCAGCTTTTCATTCCGAGCCGGCTGCGGCGGTCTCGGGGCCCAGCGAGGGCCCCCAGGGGCAGAAGCAACAGTATGTCTGCCCGCCGTGTTTTTGTTCCGCGACGCGAGTCTTTGGCTCCGCGGGTCAAAAGTCGACCCTGGGGGCGCATGCTGAGCAGAAATTGGAGGCGAATCCAGCCATGGCGACAAGGATCCCCCCGGAGGCCTAAGAAGCCTGGCCTGGAAGGTCGAAGTTCGAAACTTCGAAGTCTCTCCTTGGAGCCGACCGGGGGTTCTGAGGTTGCCCCGAACTGGTTCCAGCGAGCAGGAAGGGGGGAAGGTTCGAGGTTCTGGGTTCGACAAGTTTTTGTTGTTGCCTCTTCGGTGTCGTCAAAAACGGATCGGGATGGAACCCGGGAGGCGTCCACAGACCGATGTTGAGCGGACTTGCTTTCACCCCCTTGTCTTGACCACGTCTCCCAGGGCCCAACCAGCTCAGACCCCCTGGCCGCCTCCAATCCCCTCCCCGTTTTCGTTGTTCGGCCTGCTGTCGTCCCAAGGGCGTTCGCGGTTCGGTCGGGTTCGGTCGCGGCGCAGACGGTTGCATGCGGTTGAGTTGGTCGGGTCGGTTGAGTTGAGTCGTTGCCATGTCGCTCCGCCCTTCTGGGCTCCATGCTCGGCGCCGTAGTGGTTACGCCGAAGTGTGGTCTGCGATCGGCGCCGTTGGGGCCGAGGGGGTGCGACACTGCCTCCGTCGGGCCCCCTCGGGGCGCGGCGGGAAACTCCATCGAGGTCCCCGCCCGCCCCCCAGGGTGTCCACCAGGGTGCTGGTCGCAGACCACACCCTTGCAAGCCACGCCTTTCGGAGTCGCCGACATAAGGTCTGTCGATTTCGGTCGGCTTCGATCGGTCTTTGATTTTGCGGCGCCTCGTGCTCGTCGTCGTCGTCGTCGGACGGGGCTAAGGCGAGGGCAAATCCGTTCCAGAGCGAACTCTCTGAGAAGACCGCGGCGCCCGAGACGTCCTCCAGAGCCACCAGATCCCAGGTATTCTCGATTCATCCTCACCCGATTTTATCTTCGTTCTGACTTCGTCTTAGTTTCGCTGTCAGTTCGATTTCGGCGGCAAGCCTGGGTGGGGAAGCGTGAAGTGTCGGGCCTTCTCAGAAGGCTCGGAAGTTCCCCGGCCTTCTAAGAAGTTGAAGACACAGAACACCTCTCAGACAGAAGGCGCGAGGGCTTCTGAGAAGTCCCGCCGCCTTCTGAGAAAGCATTCTCCTTCTCACTTCCCCCCCTCCCTCGCCGCCGACTGGAGGCCGAGGAGGAGGGAGGAGGAGGAGGAGGAGGAGGAGGAGGAGGAGGAGGAGGAGGAGGAGGAGGAGAGGAGGAGGAGGGACGAGGAGGAGGAGGACGAGGACGACGAGGACGAGGACGAGGACGAGGACGAGACGAGGACGAGGACGAGGAGGAGGACGAGGAGGAGGAGGCCTTCGATCTTGCTGTCGCCGTGCCCGGCCCGCGGCCCGCGGGGGGTGCGCCGCGCCGCGCGGCCGGCCCGCGAGGCCGAGCGGGCCGTGCCCGCCCTGGCCAGCCTGGCGTCGGTGGCCCCGGGCGCCGCGGAGGCGCCCGCGGCCGTGGCTCGTGAGACTCCTCCTTCCAGCAGTGGCGAAACGCCTCCTCCTCCTCCCTCCTCCACCTCCTCCTCCTCCTCCTCCTCCTTCTCCTCCTCCTCCTCCTCCCTCCTCCTCCTCCTCCTCCTCCTCCTCCTCCTCCTCCTCCCTCCTCCTCCTCCTCCTCCCCTCCTCCTCCTCCTCCTCCCTCCCCCGCCTCCTCCTCCTCCTCTTTCCTCCTCCATTTCCATCTTCCCCTCCTCCTCCTCCTCCTCCTCCTCCTTCTCCGCCTCCCTCCTCCGCCTCCTCCTCCCTCTCCTCCTCCTCCTCTCCCTCCTCCTTCTCCTCCTCCCCCTCCTCCCCTCCTCCTCCTCCTCCCCCTCCTCCTCCTCCTCCTCCTCCTCCTCCTCCTCCTCCTCCTCCTCCTCCTCCTCCCGTCCCCTCCTCTCCTCCTCCTCCTCCTCCTCCTCCTCCTCCTCTCCTCCTCCTCCTCCTCCTCCTCCTCCTCTCCTCCTCCTCGTTCGTTCTCCTCCTCTCTCCTCCTCCTCCTCCTCCTCCTCCTCCTCCTCCTCTCCTCCTCCTCCTCCTCCTCCTCCTCCTCCTCCTCCTCCCCCTCCTCCTCTCTTCCTCCTCCTCCTCCCTCCCCTCCGCTCCTCCTCTCCTTCCCCTCCTCCTCCTCTCCTCCTCCTCCTCCTCCTCCTCCTCCTCCCTCCTCCCTCCCTCCCTCCTCCCTCCCTCCCTCCCTCCCTCCTCCCTCCCTCCTCCCTCCCTCCTCGTCCTCCTCCTCCCCCTCCTCCTCCTCCTCCTTCTCCTCCTCCTCCTCCTCCTCCATCTCCCGCCTCCTCCTCCTCCTCCTCCTCCTCCTGCTGGATGTGGAGGGGATGATGGATGTGGAGGGGAGCTCTCAACCTGCATCCCAATATCGTGCGAGGGTCTGGGCCGTCGACGTGCAAGGAGCGTCCGCGCGACCAGCTTCCTGCAGGTCCTGTGGCCTGGTCTTCGAGGCGGGCGAGTTGCGCCTGTGTGCGTGGGGCAACCAGACATGCTCGCGCTGGACGTGCCCCACTTGTTTGCAGGGTCGCCTGCCGCAAGGTGCCGAATTCCGACCTCATGGCCGAGGCGATGGCACGAGTGTCGCCGCGGCGCGTGCGCAGACAGCAGTCGCCGAGCCCCAGGCCGGCAACGCAGGAGGCGCTGGGGGCTCGCGGTCGGCGCCGCCAGAACAGCTTGTCCAACATCCAGCCTGGGACGACAACGAGCTGCCTGGCCCAGCGTGGTGGGCGAGATTGCCTTGGAACGATTTGTTGACGACCGGAGCCACCACTTACGTGCAGACCCCGGACAGACTACGAGGCGCGGTTTTCCAGGCGAGGCGGAAGACGCTGCAGATACTTCGGGGTGCCCGGGAACATGGGGAAGCGAAGGAGGAGTGGAAACTGTTCTTGGTGCTGGACCTCCTACTCCTCAGCACCAGCAGCGAGGGTGCGACGTGCGCGGAGTTGCTGGAGGAGCGCCTTGCGTGGTTCTGGGGGGCGCAGTGGACATCCGCGCGCCACGGGCGGAAGATCCCAATGGCTGCCGCCAGAAATGGTGACAAGCTGAAGGCGGCGCGGATCCACACCCTGGCAGCAGCTGGAGAGGAAGGGCGAGCACTACGGGCCACTGCCAACAGCAAACTGGCGTTCCGCACCCCGGAAACGCTGACGAAGGTCAAGAAGTGTTTCCCTCCGACGGCTCTGCCCGCGCCGTCGGCGGAAAGTATCCCGCACCCTTCGCAAGAGACGCTCGAGAAAGTCCAGGAGGAGACGGCGCGCCTGCTCCGGAAGCCACCCCGCCTCTCAGCGCCGGGGCTTTTAGGCAGCCTCTTGGAGCACTTAGCAGACGCGAAAATGTGTTCCGAGACCCTGGGCTGGCTCACCGAAGCTGTCTCATAGATCGCCTTTGGCATGCTCCCGGGGGAGGCTATGGGTGTTCTCCGGACTGGGGAGGTCACGGCGCTGCGCAAGGGAGACGACGACGTGCGACCGCTCATCGTGGGATCGACGGTGCGACGCCTGGGTCTGCGAGCGCTGGCGCGGACCCGGAAGGAGCAGCTCCAGGACGCAGCCGGGCACAGGCAGTACGGGGTCGGGAGGTCCGGCGGCACCGAGCTCCTGCTGCGGAAACTGGAGGCGCAGGCAGAAACCAGGCCGACAGCAGTTTTCCTGAAGGTGGACGTGGAGGCCGCCTTTCCCTCGCTGGAACGAGCGCCCGCCATAGCGGCAATGACGGAGCGAGACGAGGTGGTCGCGACGGCCCTGCTCGCTTGGCACGGACAGCCAGCGAGGCACCTCTGGCGCGACGCCGGGGTGCTTTTCCACCCGCTTGACAACACGAGGGGCTTCGACCAGGGGGACCCGCTCTCGCCCGCGGCTTATTCCGTGGCGCAGAGAGTAGCTCTGGACGGCCTTCAGACCGAGCTGCTCCGCTTGGACCCGCAAGCGAAGCTCTACAGCTACCTGGGCGACACCTACCTGGTGGTAGACGCCGCGCTGGCCGCGCTCGCCTTGGGGGCCTTCCAGCGGGCGCTCCACCCCCTCGGGCTGAAGCTGAAGCTGGCGAAGACGGCCGCCTGGTCCCCAGCCAGGCGCGCCGTGCTCACGCAGGACCTGCAGGCGAGCTTGGTGCCGAGCCTGCCTGTGCTCGGCAAGCACCCGCGGCCTCCGGGAGACGCCGAGAGCAGCGCGCCCGCCGCCCTCGGGGTGCCGGCGAACAGCTTGTCCGAGGCTGGGCGGAAGCTAGAGTCTAGAGACGCTCTGGGGGGAGCTGAAGAAGCTGCAAAAGGCCGGACTCAGAAGCAGGCAGCGGCAGCCCTCCTGCGCGCGTACGCGGGCCCGGCGAGCCAGCACTCCTTGCGGATGGAGCTTGCCCAGGACTCCGCGACGCAGCAGTGCGACGATCTGCTGGCGGGCTGCTGGAGGGACCTCCTGGAACGGGACCTCGACGAAGCGGCCGCGGAGCTCCTGGGCCTCCCGGCCAGGTTTGGAGGCCTCGGCGCGCAGCTGGCGGGCGCGCGGCGCCACGCGGCCTTCCTCGCCCCCCGGTCAGCCGCGGCGCAGGAGGTCGCAGAGGACCAGGGCAACGCGACGCTGGCTGACTCACTGGAGCGGCTGCCGCGGGCGGCCCAGCAGCTGGAAACGGCGCGGCGCGGACTGCAGGGCCAGGGGCTCGAGCTCGCACCGGGGGGGACTTGGCGACTGCGACGCAGACGCCCCTGAAGCAAGGCTTGGCCACGAATAAGGTGCAAAGGACCCAGCGCGCAGCTCTGCTGCGACGCTTGCCCCCTCCCCGACAGGCCGAGCTGCGGGGCGCAGCCGGAAGCGGCAGCGCGGCCTCAGAGGACGACCTCTGCCCCCTCGAAAACGCGCTCTGGCAGGCAGGGACGCGGCGGCGGCTGCAGCTTCCGCGCGCCGAGCTCAGCCAGCGGGAGCTAGCGACCGCGCCGGCCGCCTGCTGCCTGCGCGCTGCCGACGGCGCTGGCTGCCACGGGGCACCAGACGACGGCGGCAACCGCGCCCTGACCTGCCAGGTGGGCGGGTGCGTGGCGGCGCGACACGGGGGCCTCAACCGGAGGGTTGGGGGTCTCCTCCACCGCTGGCGCGGCGAGCGGCCCCTCGTTGAGCAGAGAGTGCCGACTTGGGGCCGCCAGCGCCCCGACGGCAGACTCGAGCGCGCGATCCTGGACCTGCAGTACCAGGACGACGACGGCACCCACTGGCTCGACGTCTCCGTCCGCCACCCCGCAGCCGGCGCGCGGGCCGAGCTGCGGCTGGCCGCGCGCCGGGGCGGCGAGGCCAGCAGGCGCGGCGAGCGGGGGAAGCACGCGCGCTACCCCGGCGACCAGCTGACGCCCTTCGCCCTCGAGGCGGGGGGGCGGCTCGGCGCCGAGGGCCGCCTCTGGCTGCTAGGGCAGGTGCGGCGCTTGCCCGAAGACGAGCAGCAGCGCGAGCTGGCGCGGGCCTACAAGGTCTTGTCCTGCGGCCGGCAGGCGGCAACAGCGCGCCAGCTCCGGAAGGCGGCCGGCTTGCGCTAGGCGGCGCGCCGCCGGCTAGCGGGCGGAGCCGCCGCGGCGACGGCAGCAGCGCGGCTCGACACCGGCTGGCGAGGCCGCCGAGCTGACTGACGCGCTGGCGCGGCGGGGATAGCGCAGGGCGGCGCCGACAGCCGCTTGGGGCCGACGCGGAGCTGGCGGCGACCCCAGCAGCCCGTGTCGGCCCACGGGGGCCACTGGAGACGCTGGAGGGGCGAGCGGCGGCTCGGGCGGCGGCCGGCGGCTGGCTGCCGCGCGCCGCGGCCAGGCGACCTGGCGCGGCGCGGAGGGCGGACGGCGACTCCCTCGCACACGGCGGCACCGGGCCCGGGGGCCCCTGCAGCTGGCCCGACTTGCCCGGCGGCGGCCACCAGCGCTGGACGGCCTCTCGGCGCGGCGCAGCTCAGCCGCAGCGCGCTGCCGGGGCGCGCGGCCGTGGCCGGTCGAGGTGCTCTATTTGGATTACCAGAGGTATCTATGGTGCTTCCGCCCTCTCATACCACCCTCTGGTGAGGGTCGCGCGGATCTTAACGAGGCTTCGACATACTCGCCTCCTCCTCCTCCTCCTCCTCCTCCTCCTCCTCCTCCTCCTCCTCCTCTCTCCTCCTCTTCCTCCCCTCCCCCCCATCCCCCCTCCTGCCTTCTCCCTCCCTCCCTCCTCCGTATCCCCCTCCCTCTCCCTCCTCCTCCCCCTCCTCCTCCCACCCCTCCTCCTCCTCCTCCTCCTCCTCCTCCTCCTCCTCCTCCCCTTCTCTTCCTCCTGCTCCTTCTCCTCCCGCTTCTCCCCCCTCTCCCCCGCCTATTCTCTTCCTCTCCTCCTCCTCCTCCTCCTCCTCCTCCTCCTCCTCCTCCTCCTCCTCCTCCTCCTCCTCCCCCCCCTCTTCCTCCTCCTCCTCCTCCTCCTCCTCCTCCTCGCTTCCCCCCCCCCCTTCCTCCTCCTTAT